CTAGCAGAAGTCAGTCTAAGATACTGTTAATTCCTCAGTGAGGAAGAACTCAGAACTCTTGAGTCTGGAGCCCCTAACATACCTTCATTCCCAGCTCAACTTATGTAGGGAAATTCCATATTCTGTGGCTGTGGTACATGTGAGAATGCTCAGTGTAGTGGGTTATGGTTTGTGAATTCTTACCAGATGAGCTTCTCGTGTTAAAATCCCACATTTCTAGTAATATTCATGGCATTTCCCCTACAGTCCAGTATGATCATCCATCGTGCTTTATCTTAAATTGAGCACTCTCAGAATTTCTGAGAGGTTTTCAGTGTTAACATCTTGAAGGCTCTGGGTAAACCAGGATGATGTCGCTTTCTGTCTAGGAAGCTAAAAAGTCTTTGGAAATTGGTGAGCAAGATGTTTAATGAATGGCAGAGTGGGAAGCTCCCTGTGCCTCACATCTATGCTCCTGAGTTCTCTCTGCCATTCATTCATCTTGCTCATCACTCCAACCAGAAGCACCCGGGACCACCAGTGCTGCTGGGATGCTGGATTTTCACTCTGAAGCCTTCCTGTAGAGGCACTATGATGTCATTAAAATAAGCAAGACAGTGCAGTGCATGCTGGTAATCCCAGCATGTGGGAGGCCAGCTTGGTCTACACTGTCAGACCCCGTCTCACAAACAAATCCCTAAAAGAAGAAAAAAGTAAGAATAAGCAAATGATTAAACCTGATGACTTGAACATTGCCTAAGAATTATATAGATATAAATCTCACATGGAAAAGGATGTCTGGGAGATTTATGAAAATCTCATTTCTAACTTTCCCATGACCTTGTATCAGTAACTCAGAAAAAGACAGGAGATTCACAAAGAAAGGATTTTTGTTTTAATAAAATCAAGTCCTCTCTTGCCTTCGAAGCTTCTATCCCTTTCTAGTCTCTGAAAACATTGTTAGGGATTGGTTAAAAGAAAAATCCTCGCATAAACCTTGTTCCTCTTGCCAGTTGATTGATTAATTCATTAATTCATTAAAAACTATTAAATATTAGTGTGTACTATGCCAATTGTTTCAGCAAACAAACCCTCAAAAGCCCCCCCCAACCCTACCTCATGAAATGTATGTTGAAAAAAAAACTGACAGAAAACTGTAGACATATTGGTGGTAAGTGCAGAGAGAAGAGAATGGGAAACATGACCAATTTATCAGTGTGGTCAAAGAAGCAATCTTTGAAAAGGTGACATTGAGCAAGTCAGGAAAGAGTGCCTGATGGGACATGCTTTCCAGCAGAGGGAACAGGGGGTGTGATGGTCCAATGTCAGACATGCTGCAGTATATTCCAGAAGCAAGATGGGAGTCTTAGAGACGGGGGTGAGTTAGGAGAAGGAGCATCAAGGCGTAGAACCTTGTACAAGAAGTAAGCCACTGTTACTAACAAGGAGTTTCCTGCCTCCAGGATCCAGAGTTTGGCTGGAGAAATGTCTTCTTGCTTGCAGCTGCTATTGATGTAGTAGGCCTGCTCTTCTACCTCATCTTTGGCCAAGCAGAGGTACAGGAGTGGGCTAAGGAACAGACGTTCACCCATTTCTGAGAAAAGGGAACAATGTGTGAGATCCTGACACTTCCCTTCAAAGATCTGCTTTTGTGCCTGCTTGACCACTAAAGCCATCCAACTGGAAGGGGCTTCGTTTCCAGGATCATCTCAGAGATCCTGGCTATGTAACACTAAAGGTATTTTTTCCACACAACTGGAGGTTTCACAAGGAAAGGAAAGGATTGGTTGTTTATAACTGTATGCTCCTGGAAGCACAGGTGTGTCCAACTGTCTATGAATCCTCTATACTTTCCCCTGTTGCCATGGTAAAAGCATCAGGGGCTGGAGGACAATTTGCCATCAAAGCTAAAGAGGAAGCCAGAAGTACAGGAGTGATGAATTGGAACCATAGGAGTGTGGTACCATGAACTCTTTAAGCTGTCAGCAAAAGAGACCTGACAACCCAGAAAAGAGGATGTCTACAGGCTGAAGTCCTGGGGCAGGAGGCCAAAGTGGACAGTTGCTCTTATGTTAAGTGAGGGGGTTAAGGAGCCATTGTGAGCCTTGGTGTGTGTAGGGTGTCTAACTGAAACCAGTCAGGATAAAGAACAACGGAGAGTGAGTCTGTCATGCAAAAAGGAATGAACTTTCTTCACCTAATACAAGAGGGGTAATGGAATTCAACCATTCTGGACAACTTGATGTCTGTGGATCTTGGCTTTGGATCAAAACCACTTTTGCAATATAAACCCCACCCAGGCGCTCTCTGGAGTCAACTCTTCCACAGCTACCTTCTTTCTAACCCCTCTGACCTGGGCCCCTCATCTGGATGTGGATCCGTGCACATCCCTTCTGTCTTAGTCTTAGTAAGTAGACCTTGTCTCATGTGTCTCTAGTCTCTTCATGTATTGCTTTGCGGCATCTGTCTCATCATGACTGCCCTGTGCCTGCTTCTCTGACTCTTGTGGTTTCAGCCACTGTTCAATGGGTCTCATTCAATGTAAAATGGCTTCTAAAAATGTTGGGAAGACCCATGCTTGCTTCAGCTCATTTCAAATGTCTAGAGAGTGTGTATGGGGTCTCTTTGCATTAAGAATCTACATAGGGGCTGGAGAGGTGGCTCAGTGGTTAAGAGCACTGACTGCTCTTCCAGACGACCGAGATTCAATTCCCAGCACCCACGTGGCAGCTCACAACTGTTCGTAACTCCAAGATCTGACACCCTCACACAGATGTACAGGCAGGCAAAATGCCAAAGCACATAAATAAAAATAAATTATTTCAAAAAAGAATCATATATATATATATATATATATATATATATATATATAAAGAATCCACATGGGTGACACAGGAACTACAAAAGAACAGAAACACTCAAACACTAAATGAATGTTAATGAATACATTAGTGTGTATGGAGACATGGCGGACATCATAGTCACGCATAGCTCAAAATAGCTCACTATCACAGGAGGATAGATGGATTTAATAAAAGTATCACAAGTGAGCGTGCAGTGACAGCTATGGAATATGGAATAAGGAGGCTCACATCTTACTAGATAAGGAAGTGGCATGCACTAATTTAAGGGTGAGTGGTGGCCGCCATTACAGAGCATCAATTGAGCTGGTATCTGAAGGTCACCTGATGTAGAGGCCAATGGAATGAATGTTGTAGAAAGACTCTGTGGGAAGATACACAGCATATGCAAAGGTTTGGTGGCAAGAGAGAAATGTCAGGAGTGAATAAGAGCAGCATTGGCTGGGAGGTGATTAAAGAAGAAAAATCAGGAATGAGTAAGAGAAAACTGAGCTGTGAGGAGGTTATAGAAGTATCTAAGTCAAGAATACACAGGGCATTGGGGACCTGGTGAAGAGTATCGGTCTTTATGTTAAAATCAGTGGTTAAAAAAAAAAGCTGGGTGGTGGTGGCGTATGCCTTTAATCCCAGCACTCAGGAGGCAGAGCCAGGCAGATCTCTGTGAGTTCGAGACCAGCCTGGTCTACAGAGCGAGATCCAGGATAGGCACCAAAACTACACAGAGAAACCCTGTCTCGAAAAAAACCAAAAAAAAAAAAAAAAAATCAGTGGTAGTATTTTAATGGAAAAGGACATAATCAGGGTTTTGATTTTCAATAGTCACACTGCATCAAAGAATTGGTGAGGAGGTCCCATTGCAGTCCAGGAGAGTAGTGGTGGAGGGAGTAGTGAGAGATAAGCAAGTAGATAGCCTGGCCACACTCATACTCTATGAGAGGATGCATGATGTCCACAGCAACAGTTGCATTTTGGTTTGTTGTTAGATCAATGGGGATGCTTCTCACAATGATAGCAGCATACACAATGAAGACCACAAACAGGAAAATGGACACAAAGGTCTGGATAGCGCATGTGACATTTGGAGTCCAGTTATGTATTTGGTAACAATTTAAACATAGGTCATAATTAAAATTTTCAGTATGGATAAGGTTGTGTGGGTGGACAGCATGATATAAAAGAGAAAGCCTATGACTAATTTTTCAAGTGTTTAATGGTCAACTAGAGGATAATTAGACAGAGAAGGGAGGGAGGAGGAAAGGACAGAGAGAGGAAGGGAGGAAGGAAGGAAGAAAAGTTTAGAAGGCAAACCAAGAAAATAGTGTTAAGATGGAGAAGTGGAAAGAATGAATTATGAAAAGGAGTGATCAATCTGCAGAGATTGGCTGATGAGAAGAAACAGAGTGAGAATAAAGGTGCCCAGTCCTGAGACATTGGGGGGCAAAAGAGTGGGAGGGAGGAAGGTGAGAGGATACGGATCAAAGAAAGTGTGGAGCAAGCTTGTTGAAGACCCCTGAGGCAGAGCTCATTGAGAAATCAAAGTGTCTTAAGCAAAAGCATCAAGTATGAATGGAAAATTCCTGGGAGAGGGATGAGGAAGGGCTTTTGTGCCTAAAGCCCAGCTAGGAAGATAGCAAGAACGGAATGAAGGTGGCCTTGCCTTTTCACTGACAGTCCAAGGTCATGCCTATATTTGCTAGTGAGAAATCCAAGGAGGGCTTCGTTCTTAGTATCTATCTTTCCTCCTACTTCAAAGTACAGAGGGTGCATACGTGGCTTGTGGGTAAGACAAAGGCTACAGTGTTCTTATTAGACAGAAGAGCAACATGGCAGAGATGTTCCCTGCTGGCCAGGCAAGGTCTTCGCCTTCCTTACAACCCCTGGAATACCTACACATTCTTCCTCTTCTGGTCCATTTATGGCAGTTTCCACTACCCAACCTGAATATAAACCCAGAAAGTTCAGAAACCAGGACATGTATTATTTGACACATCTTCAGCAAAGTGTGGGATTCCATTTACAGTAAGTACCAATAAATGTTTGATAAGTCACTTATTGGAGCAGCTCTGAGCTGGTATAGAAGACCAGTTAGGGGACAGAAAGAATAGGAAAGTGTCCTAGTTTCTGCCCTGTTGTTGAGACAAATACCATGACCAAAGCAACTTACAGGAGGAAAGGATTTATTTGACTTACACATCTAGGTCATGGTCCATCATTGAGGGAAGTCAGGGTGGGGACTCAAGCAGGGACGTGAAGCAGAAGCCATGGAGGAATGCCACTTGCCAGCTCACCCACAGGCTCATACTTTGCTAACTTCCTTATACAGCCCAGGACTATGCGCTTTAGGGTGATGCTGCCCACCAACAGGCTGGACCATCTTGCACCAGCTAACAATCAATCAATCCCACACACATGCCCAAAGGCCAATTTGATCTGACTAATACGTTGATTGAGACTCCCTTCTCAGGTGACTCTAGGCTATGTCAAGTTGACAGTTAAAGCTAATGGAGACAGGAGAAAAGGAACCAATTTTGCCCCAAATTTATGCACCTTGCTTTCAGAGCCCATGGGCTCCTTTTCTTATGGTGTTACAGTGTCAGAAACCTGGATGTGACACCACCACTCTCTTTGGCAATCCTTGAACTGACCCAGGTCTCATTAAGGCACAGAGTCAGCTATCCAAAGTCTTCATTAATCCATCTTTTTTCCCTCCCTTGACTCTTTTAGTTTTTGTTTTCTTTTCCTTTTTTGAAATTCACTTGTTTTGATTTTATGCATACAAGGGTTTTGCCTGTATGTATTATGCCTGTGCACTGTAAGTGTGCAGTGGTTATGGAGGCCACAAGAGGGCATTGGATCCCTTGAAACTGGAGTTACTGGTGGTTGTTAGCTGCTATGTGGGTGCTGGGAATCGAACCCGGGTCCTCTAGGAGAACAGTCAGTCTTCTTAACTGCTGAGCTATCTTGCCAGTCCCTAGTTTTTGTTTGTTCATCATTCATCTTTAGCTGTTGCAGATAAAAAGTTTGATTTCTCCCTGGGCCCATCAAAGAGGAAACTGATTTCTTCTATATTTTCTTTCAAAATTGGCCATCCTGAAAGAATAAAAATCATTGAAGATTTTTTCAAATGGTTTGTATATTTGCAACAAAGAAGAATGAATGTTGAAAACAGAAACAAAATGAACAAAAACAAATCCAAACTAAAAGGCCTTTCATGAGGTTGTAACGTTTCATCTTATGTTTGTTTATTGGATCATAGAGGAAGACAGATAAATAAAGCCACCTTTAAACTCAGATGTGGAACTTGCCACATACAATCCACAGTGCAAAAAGAAGCGCACACAGACTTTAGTGGCTGAGCCTGGCCCCTCAGGATCCTCATGTCACCCCTTCCTGGTGTTGGTGGCTCCCGGGGGATAGCAGTCTCGTGCAAGTTCCTCTTCCTTTCAATAAGGACTCTGACCTTGTGCTTCGAAGGTGCTCATTTTTCTATTAACTTTTGTAGACAAAGGAAAACAAAACACACAGAGACATCACTGGAGAGTCCTTGCACCTGGAGACTGTGCCAACACCCCAAAGAAATTAGTGTAGGCTAGGACATTTTTCCAAAGTTGTCTTTTGTCCAGTGACAGGTTATCCATGTCATCCTCACATGTCTCCACTATGGACATAATAATAAATAGGACTGCCAGGGGCCAACCTGCCTCCTTCCTCTGCCCTACCATGGGAAATCTATGTGAAAATATCTGAGTAACTGAAGCATTATGCTAGGTCCAGTCTCAGGGCATGAGATCCTCAGTGCTATGTGTTGAGGCTGTATCCTGAGAATAAAACAAGCAGATAAAAAGCCATGGTGTCCATAGAGCTGGCCCTCCGGTGGTTTGGTATCGCTGCTCTCAAAACAGCACGGTGCATTTATAGTGCTAATCGGTACATTCTCCGTGTCTCCAAATTTCAGCTTTTAATAAACTAACTTGTTATTAAGAAAATGAAAATAAAACGTTTCTTGGTGATTCTGCACCAGGCACACACTCCAACTTCCATGGTCCTGCACTCCAGCGTCATCTGCCTGTTCTAGGAAGCATTCCAGATGCTGGAGGTATTGGAACACCTCTCAACGGCGCTGTCACTGCCTTGAATCCACAGATTTCTTCTCAGTAGTTTACTTCTGTTCTCCTAATGTGGGGTAGCCTATCTGTGATAAAATGGTTCTCAGAAATTCATGGTGAGTCCTTGAATAATAGGCCAAATTGTGATGTTACAATGGTGCCTTCAGTATGGTCAGGGAACACATAGCAGATATACACCCCCAAAATGAAGCCCTGGGAGAGCTGAGGTTGAGAAAGGCTTTGCAACAATATAAAAAAGCCTGTTTTGCCTGAAGGTCAGAACAATACAAATATGTCTGTCCTTAATTCTGGTCATAATGGCACACACACATAACTCAAGCCCTCAGAAATGGAGGTGGAAAAATCATGAACTTCAGGTCAGCTTGGGTTATATAGAAAATTCAAGCCTAGTCTAAGCTATATTTATTGAGGTCCTGAATACACACACACACACACACACACACACACACACACACACCTCAAGTCAAGCCAAACCAACAAAGAAAAACACCAAATAAGAGATGTTTTCTCTTGACCTTGCATTCATTTATACTATAGGTTCTAAGCAGAGCAATTAGAGAAGAAAAAAATGAAGGTTATTCAGACTGGAAACAGAAGTAAAATCACCTATATTTGTAGCTAACAAAATCATTTATGTGGAGATCAGACAGTACCCACTAGAAGCTGGTAGGATGGGTTTCATGAAACTGTAGGGCATTACAAAGTTAATAACATGTAGGGCATGTCTATTGTATTTAATACAAAAATTAAACTGAGAAAACCATTCCACTTAAAGTAGAATTTAAAAACCAGGCACAGTGATGTACATCTGTAATGTCAGTGTCTGAGAGGTGGGGGCAGAAGTTCTGGGATAGTCTGTCTGGGCTCCATAGCGAGTTCCAGGCCCACCCAACATCAGCACATGCTGGTACCAGCTCTTACACAGGGGTAACACACTTGGTAACGCACTCAGACCAAAGCAGATATTATAAAAGTACATTAACATCAACAACACAAAGGACCAATGAGCAGTGGCTCAGCTGTACCACCGGCTTACAAGCAATTGTATCCTACTCCAAATCAAACAGCCAGGGGCGACGAGAAAATCCTCTTTGACTCCACATTTCTCTCTTTTCCTCTTCAGGAGGAATATCTGTCTATTCTGACTGTTTCTATTTCCGCGTACCATATTTTCTTTCTTTCTTCCTTTTTTCCCTCTACAGATAGAACAGACAACAGAAAACTGTGGAAAGCAATTATTTGACTCAATGGTTTGCAAGCACAAAGACCTGAGTTTGAGACCCCAAATCCATGTAAAAAGAAGGGACACACACATACTTGTAACTTGATCACTGGGGAAGCAGAGACAGGAGGATCACTGGGCCTGATTGGCCAGCCAGGAGACTCAAGTGTTGTGCTGCCCACCAATAAGAGACGGTCTCAAAAGAGGTAGGCAGCATGAAGATGACATCTGAAGCTATCTTTGGCACACACACACACACACACACACACACACACACACACACACACACACGTGCACATGAGCCCAGACACACATATGCACTCTCTTTCCTCATGCCTAAAAACAGTGGGCTCACAGCCTCTTGTCTCTCCTAACAGCTGTTGGCGTTCATCACAACAGGGGGTCTTGATTCAGTGGGGCTTAGCAACAGGGCAATTTCACTCCTGCCAATTCTAATCCAGGAGTCATTTCTGTTCCCATCTATTCACCATCCACAGTTTATATGGAAAGCAAACTGCCAGCTTCTCTTTGAGCACACCTTCACTGCCCCCCTGTCTTCATCATTCATCTGAAAGTTGTTTTTGCCAGGATCATCTCTATGACAGCTGTGCCTAACCCAGTGGTAAGTTTTAGTTCCGATGTAATTTTAGTCCTGGACAGCGCTTTCTAGAGATATTACTTCCTTCTCCCCAACACTCCACTTTTCTAACCCTTATTCCACATCTCTGAAGGTACATCCACATCTCTTTTGCATTTTTCTTAGCTGTTCATTTGTGAGAAGCTCAGTTTCCCAAATTTGCTACAGCAGCTCTGATGCTGTGCTGCTGGGCGGTGTGGTATCAGTGATATTGTTCCAGGTGTGGCCTGCTCCTGCTCCCCCAGCCCACATCTGCATCTCAGTGATTCATCCTCAGCTGCTCTCTTGCCTGCATCTTGAGCTTCCAAACTTTCCTCAATCTGATAATGTCTCACCTTCACAGTCGTGTGTTTTCTGTTTCTTTAGCCCAGTCCTGAATTTCTCCCTTGGCAAATAGAAGGTAGAAAGTCAGGGATGCCACATTAATGCCTGCCATCAAGAAGAAGATTATATGCCAAGCATTTTCTGGATCCTGAGGGATTAAAATACAAAGTAAGTGTGAATGACTGATCTTGATTTTGTGTCTTATAACATTTAAAATGTAGTATTAAAGTAGTATGTAGACTCAACACAGGTCACTTAAGCATTCAAAACACTAGTAAGAAAGTCATCATTTCACTCTACACAAGTAATTGCTTTTATATATAGAAATTTCTGTTTTCACCAGCTATTAATATGACAGTTTCTTTTTCTTTGTGTGTGTGTGTGTGTGTGTGTGTGTGTGTGTGTGAATTCTTTCTTTTTTCTTTTCCTTTTTCTTTGTTTTGTTTTGTTTCTCTGTGTAGCCCTGACTGTCCTGAAACTCACTCTGTTGACCAGGCTGGCCTTGAACTCAGAGATCCACCTATCTCTGCCTTCCAATTACTGTATTTAAAGGGGTACCCTACTACCACCAGGCAATATATCAGTTTCTTAGAAATAATGCATCATTTTTCTCAAGATTTATTATTTTAAAACTTCCTGTCTCTTTCAAGATACTTATCCAGACAGCAGTGTGTTATACCAGATAAGCATGTATAGATATGTGTGGGACTCTAGCTCCCACTTTTTCAAGGGTTCTTAGGTGGAGAAGAGAGGACTCAAGAAATGATAGATAGAGAGACCTAGCCAATGAGAAGAAAGACAGAAACACAGGATAGCTTCGGGAGGGCCTGGATCAATACCCAACGGCCTCATTCTGTACTGAAAAGGTCTTTTTATAACATGCCAAGGGGAGAGGCAAAAGACCTCCCCCTTGCAAGATCAAAGCACACCGCACAGCCAAGTGTAGACCTTTCCAAACACCTGGTAACCACGCCTGTGGCCAAATCATCTCCTTGTGCAGCCCTGCTGGGTAAAGC